CAGCAGGTATTCGTGACCATGGCGTCCGCCCCAACTGCTGTTCATCACACATGGGTGTGTAATAAAAACTTTTCGCTGTTGTTATACTTCGCAGATTGTCTGCCGCACGTGAACTAGGCTGGTCTTATACCTGGTCGAGTTTGTATCGGTCACATTTACTCTTCGTCGAATTCCAAAACACAGACGCCTCTCGTAGACTCACCATTTCTATCTTCCACGATCTGAAAGCGGCTTTCGACTCAGTAAACTGCTCTGAATCCTGGTGCTGCCTTTCCCTGAAGTGTGTGCACGAGAAGTTTATTTCTATATTACAATCCCTTTATACCGATAGCTGAGACCGAGGCCGAGCTTACGGCACTTTTTCGCCAGAATTCACCGCGGAAAGTGGTGTTCGACAAGGTTGCCCTCTCTCTCTGCGTTTCTATTTAACTTTGTCATAGATTTCATTCTTGAAACAGTTCTATTCTCGTGCGAGGATAATGGCACCGATTTTGCTCCCAGGCGACAGACTGTCTGATCCACAGTATTCAGACAGCATTGTGCTGCTAAGCGAAGATCCAGGTAGGCTGTAAGCTTTTCTGGATAGTTTGAGTGTTAGTATAGACATGTTCGGTGTGCGTTTGCACCTTCAAAGCGTAAAATGTTGCTACAAAATTTTGTTAGCCTAGCCCCAACCTCATCCTGACTGGGGAAGTATCAGAGGAAGTAGATAAATTTGGCTATCTGGGCAGTTATATCTCACCTGGTGGATGCATCACATATGAAGTGTCGTCGCGCATACAGAAGGCTCGGTTGGCATTTGCTAACCTGAGACATCTATGGCGCCATCGTGACATCCGGCTGTCTGTGAAGGATCGAGTATATGCTGCAACAGTTCGACCAGTGCTGCTTTTCGGTGCAGAGATTCGGTCGTTACGAGGACAGGCTAAAAATAGATTGTCGGTGTTCGAACACCGCTGTCTACGTCGCATTGCACGAGTCTGATGGAGAAACCAGATGAGCAATGCTGAGGTCAGGCGTAGAGGTTTAGGTAATTGAGGTCGTCCACTGCAGAAAGTGGTCGACCTCCATAGATTACGCCGGTTGGGACATTTGCTACGCATGTCACCAGATAGGTTGCCATGGCGAACAATGTTTGCCGAGGCGGGGAGCGATTGGAAAAAAATCAAGAGTGGTCAAACGAAGACCTGGCAAGAGGGTACGAAAACCCTAACCAGGCGACTGGGTCACATAGGTCCCGTTAGGCTCCCTGGATGGGGACCCCGGGATGATAGTTATCGATGGTTGGAGACACTGAGCGATATGGCTGGGTGTCGCAAATAGTGGCGCTCATGCACTTACTCATTATTCTTGTAACATCAGTCTGTACAAATTCGCTATCTTCCACTTGAATTTGCACTTGACATTCTAATTCTCATTCTACTGTTTTAACCATATGGACAACTAAAACCGGCGCAGGTCGGTGCATGGCTAATGGTTGCAAGAACTGAACTGAACTCAATCTGCGGGGCTGGCATGGATTTGCCTGATGAAATTGTCCGTAGCACGTCACCTCCATTCATCCCACACTAACTTAGTCCGTGTTTGAGGCACCGGCATATCGCATAGCAGGTCATGTAACTGATTGCCTGTTCGAACGTTATTCCTTTTACTATTGCCACTTTGTAGCGCACGCGTCGATCAGACTCCATCGTTTCAAAACAGCGCAATTCTATGCACCCATTTCTCATTTCAATCAGATGCGTATTTGGCTTATCGATTCAATCTAACTCAGATTGATTTTCGTGATCTGGTTGGGTTTAACGAACCGGTTGTTGTTAATTGAAGAGCCACACAATCACTCAGTACCTTCTCATTGACTATGTGTCCCATGCAATTGATCATCTTAAGATAAAGCACACGTTTCCGAGCTAAGATTCTTTTCGTTCTGCTTTCCTTCCGCATGGTGCCAGTTGCGTTGTGCGTTAGTTTCATGTATCCATGATGGTGGGATAGTGATCANNTAGTCTGTTTCGGGTGTTAAGGTCCGCCAATTCACTATGGGGGTAGACAGCTTCTCGGTTATCCGGTTTAAGGCAGTCCGTGTTACATTTTATTTCGACCTCCTTCCATTCGTCAACTCGGCTGAGTTGCCCGCTTTACTTTTTATGGGATTTATAGTCACGTATACCTACTGCCTTTTTATGGGAACAGGCAACCGAAGCCCAGAAACTCAGGTGCGTTCTTCCTTTTCCTCGACCGGTCATAAAAGGCCTATCTGTTAATGTCAAATTCATACGTTTATATAGGTTATGCATAACCTTAGAAGCGGAATCTGAATGTTTTCGAGGTATTCACGAGGCATAATGAGGGAAGTCAGGTCTCTGGCCTTCCAGGATAGAGTCCAAAATCTCCGTAACTGGTTGGTTGATAACGCCAAATAACGTGGTATTAAACCGAGTGTAATAGTTTTCTTGATATCACTTTTTACCAGGCCAAAGTACTTGAAGAGATATGTATGCACAGTTAGGTTGCGTCCTGTGTGCCTCAACCATAGAGGTTCACTTTACCAGGAAGGCGAAGGCCTTTCTGAAAATCGGTCTATTCTTATGTGAGAATTCACGGAAGACTCCATTGATTTGGTGGAGTGTGCTGTATCGTACGAGCAGTCACCTGACTCCTCGATTCACTTAATCTTGTAATCATCTCTGTACCCTGGAACCTTCTAATATCGGTTATCACGCACATTTTCTAAAATCCTCATTAGTATGAGTGCGTTTTCCCTTGAAATTAAAAGCGGTTGCACACCGTCTGATACAAGACTCGCGTTGTTATTTTTGGCTTCTGATTTAGGGGTTCGGTAATTGGAGAGTTGGAACTGGAGGCTGAAAGCTAATTTTATGAGACAGCGACTTTCCCCCTGCTTCAAAATATACCCAATCCATGTCCACGTTACACATTCTCGTTTATTTTTATGCAATATCAGGTTCGCTTCACTGTAGTTCACTGGACGATGATGATGAGTCGTTTTCAGCACTAAAACGATGGTGATTATTAGTCCAATAAACCCAAGTCATGTATTTACTTTATTCACGCCAAAGCAGTATATCTTAAACCTTGTGTGCTCATTGAAGCATTTCACAATCGAATGCAATAAAACGAATTTCAAGAAAAGCAGTTGCATAGATGCGAGAATGAAATATTTCGGAAACATCCTTTCCCTTTGATTCATTTTAATAAAAGAAGTAACACAATATGAACAGAATTGATATTGGCCATCAATTTCGCGTGTTCTCAATCAGCTGTCTACGCGCATTAAATGGGTCGAATTTTATCCTAAGAATACCATACATGGACATTTACGTAATTACATGGGTTCAGGCAGAAGGCATTGGGTTGTTGTATCATTACCACAGTCATTTGGGTATGGGTGAAAGAGGAGGAGGAGAATGTTGGTGTAGAAACAGTTACGTAATGGAAAACGATTAGACGTGGTGGAAAGAGAGTTAGACATGGGTACGTAATACGAAAATTATATGACCAGAAATGAATTCGAACAGACATAGAAAGTTAACGGAGTACAAAGTCGGTCAGTCAAATAGGCCAAAGAGAGTTACGTAATAAGAAAATGAGAAAATGACGGTAAGTGATTGTGCAATCAATTAAAAGCATTCACGGTGTTCCCGAAGTCGATGGATATTAAAGGAATGCGGAATAGGTGTCTGAGTGTTGTCGAACACAAAGTTGTGACCTAAATTATTGCAGCAATTGAGGTTTTTATTACAATAAGCGTAACTGAATTGGGGTGTGGGATTCCACTGGCAGGCGAGGTTGTCTTTATGGGTCTGCAAATGAGAGTCCTAAAGACGCAAATCAACAGAAAAATACAGAACAGTATAACATGTGGAATTGAATACACTACGGTGCAAACGAGGACAGATTGGGAAACGTGCTGACATCGGTGTCCCGATACAAGGTCGCTGTTTTGTAAGTATGCGAAGCCCACACAAGGTTCGCAGTGGTTTGTCATTATAAATATAAATAAAGATAAATTAAATAAATATAAACATGAATAAATATAAATATACTCATGCAGGATAAAATAATTCTTTATAAGGTTTTAAGTAAAATCCATGCTCAGTCAGTTCGCTTTGTTCAGCCATTAACCACTAGGTTCCATGCGCCGGTTGCCGTCCGTTAGTTGCTCTTTTGAATGAAACGGTGAATGGCGGATTGGAATGTTCTATTCAGTCTTCGAGTGAATATAGAGAATTCATGAAGACTAAGATTGCAAATATTGAGATGCGCGAACTCCATTGTTTACCAGACTCAACCGTATCACTCAGTACTTTTAACAGTCCATTAAAATGATCCCGAGTTCCTCATCCAGGGAACCGAACGCGACCTATATAACCGAGTCTCCCGGTTAGGGTGTTCATACCCTCATGTCAGGTTTAAAATGAATATGCTGGGAATAGGTAGAAATTTGTCATCTCTTTTAAGTAACAGAAAATCAAAGCGTTACATTTCTACCTAAAAAAGGATAGTGATGTGCAAGTGAAGCAAATCGCCTCTCTGTAAAGCAAAACAGCGAAATATAAGGCATCATTCTACCCGGCATATGCGCAAGAGCTAGTGTGAAACATATGGGGGCCAGATTGAAAAAAAAACAATAACATCAAGCAAGCACCTGGGGAACAACAACCAGAGCCGAGGATAGGGAGTATGAAGGAGAGTGAAATTGCACAGGTTTGGTAAACCAGAAAAGAAGCGGGCTCACTGGTGATGAACAGGTGACGGTGTCTGGACACCAGATGTTGGGTGAGCTGTAAAAGACTTGGGTTTCAGGTGATTGCTGGTACCGTATGAGTGACTAAGTAAATAGCGGAATGGAAGCGTGTTTAAGGGGTAAAACGAATTCAGCACTAGATCAATTCTGTGTTTGTTTCTGATTCCGATGCCGGTTATCCTTAACTCATCACTCCACCCTTCTCTCTTTCTGTCTCTTTGTGTAAACGCAGAATCTCACCACCACAATACCTTATCATCGATCACCATATCACGAGGGACCTACCGTGGAACAGCTGCAACTGTTCAACGAGATGCTACTGGCCATCCTCACGAACAATCCGAACCTCACACCAATGTTAACGGACTACATTCTGAATGGTTAGTTACCAATTTTTTGAGTTTCATAACTCGATTGAGTGTTCTTTCTGTTTGTTATTTAGATCTCCTAGGAGCTGGTGATCATGTGTCATCCATGTAGCATTCGTAACGGAAATTCCTGTTATCAAAATGGCTCATTTTTGTGTCCGTCAGCAGTGACTCGGTGATACTGATTGACTTGATCTAAGGCTGAGGCACACTGATAGCATGCGAGTGGTTTAGGGTTCAAACTCCGGTTGGGTGAAAGCAGATATTGCTAATGATGACCTCTGATGAGAGCGAAACTCAAACCGGGTGTTACTCCAGTACAGTTTGACTGGATGAGCTGAGCAATATGCGCAAAGATGAAATTTCAAATTATATTCAGTCATAAGAATTTGATGCAATCTGATTCCACGCCACTGCTCTTCACGTCTGTGGTGTTGATCTTCTCCCGGGTGTCGAGTTGTCTGACCTGGAGTAAGCAAATGACATTGTACTAGTACCTGAGGCTCTAGACAAGTTGAAGGCTTTTCTGGAGACTTAGAGTGCTATGGGTATCGCGCGTTTTGCATTTTCAGAATGCAAAAGATGC